AGCACTGCTACAGTTTGCAAAGCCGAGGCTGATCCTGAGCTGGCTTTGATACGTGTCTGTGCCTGAGCACTGCTGCAGTTGGCAAAGCCGAGGCTGATCCTGAGCTGGCTTTGATACGTGTCTGTGCCTGAGCACTGCTGCAATTGGCAAAGCCGAGGCTGATCCTGAGCTGGCTTTGATACGTGTCTGTGCCTGAGCACTGCTACAGTTTGCAAAGCCGAGGCTGATCCTGAGCTGGCTTTGACGCGTGTCTGTGCCTGAGCACTGCTGCAGTTGGCAAAGCCGAGGCTGATCCCGAGCTGGCTTTGATACGTGTCTGTGCCTGAGCACTGCTGCAATTGGCAAAGCCGAGGCTGATCCTGAGCTGGCTTTGATACGTGTCTGTGCCTGAGCACTGCTGCAGTTGGCAAAGCCGAGGCTGATCCTGAGCTGGCTTTGATACGTGTCTGTGCCTGAGCACTGCTGCAGTTGGCAAAGCCAAGGCTGACCCTGAGCTGGCTTTGATACGTGTCCGTGCCTGAGCACTGCTGCAGTTGGTAAAGCCGAGGCTGATCCTGAGCTGGCCTTGATACGTGTCTGTGCCTGAGCACTGCTGCAGTTGGTAAAGCCGGAGCTGATCGTGAGCTTGCCCTGACAGCTAGCTTTAGTTGACGGCCCAGCTGGAGGGGAGGCTGGTCCAGATATCAGAGGGGCCAAATAAGCACACCTTGCCTGGCGGCGGCAGGCATAAAGAACCGTTATCAGTAAGCTTATGGCGCCAATAACGGTTTCAGCTGCAAAATGGACAGCCGCGTTGACGTCACTGACGTCGTTATTTCCAGCTCTGTATCGGATAAATTGCGAAAAGTGGCATTCCTGAATACGGCAGCATGCTCTATTTAGAAACACTTTGGAACATGTGCCGATTCTCTCGACTTTGTAACCCGGAGGGAACTCAACGAATCTTTACTGAAATATTGACTGAAGAACCACATCCTGCCAGCTATTTCAGAGCAACGTTGGATGCGAGGAGAAAGTAATGCATTTGATCTGGAAAGGCGTCGAAAAACAACGATCTTTCTAAAACGGGATAAATTTCAGGTGCTGTATCTCTCCACGTGCACGAACTTCAAAGTCGTCCGATTTAATAACAGTTTCAGAGAGACAAAGGACAAGCCAGGGCGGGTTATTAGTCCAAGAGCGTCCCACGCTCCCAGCGATATCGCCACCATAGTGGAATTGGACCATGCTACGTATTGAAAGGGGCCGGTGTGCCTGAATCGCACCGTTGGTTGCGTCTATGCGGTGATAACGCACGCGATCCGTGAGATTCAAGCCTGTAACCCTCGGGCTGAAATTTGCTCCACGGCCGGAGTGGATGCACATGAAACAAGCAGAAGTCGAGGAGTGTGTTCCATATTTATGTGGGGTTTTGACCTGAAACAGCCGTCTTGGAGACCTTTCGGTGCTGTTCATAATCCTGTCCTTCTTATGACCTAAGCCCCTCTAGTTTTTTAGCTAAACGCCCTCGAAAATAGGGAAAGGTATATCAGGGAGTGTTTCAAAGTCGCCTTGGAATTCATGACGTCATAACAACGCCATTAAATCCGGCTATTCCATCAGCCGTGCGGTGATCAAGGCCAAGAAGAATATGAATGTCGAGGCGTTCATATCTGGCGTTCGTGAGCGCGATTTCCAGGTAAGACGGCCGTCAATTGGCTGTCAGTCAATGTTGTACAAAGTAAGATGACGTAATCAGCCTTTGATGCACTGCAGAGCATATTTATTAAACAGAAAATCGTGCTGTCTAGAGCAGTCCTTTCATCTTAAAAAGTACACCAATGGTTTTCAGTGAGCTTGTTTCATCCTGTCTGATGCTTGCCTTAATATCTTCAAATGTGAAATGTGAAGAATTTCCCTAAATTTAACGGACTGATTCAAATGCGAAGCATTCCCTTAAATGAGCTTATTGCCTCGTTTGTTGCATATACCAGACGCGGGCATCTATTGTATTCCATTTCCACAACGATCCGAGGGCACGAAGAGGAAAAACCCCATAATGGCTACTTTTGCGTAGTTAGACCGAAGGCCACTGCCAGGCCAACGGAACATAAATGACGCATTTGTGCCGGCTAAAACATTCCTGCATCGAATCACGTCAATTGCTTCTTTCTGTGACGATCAATGGCGAAGTTGTGGATATGTGAATCATGCAACGATTGTAAAAATTATTGACCTTGCATTATCTATAACCTTGATTTCAAGGCCACCTAGAATGAAATCGTGATGGACGACGATTTTTATATGAGGACCACTAGCCTACTAAATTCGTTGAAATTGGACGGATCGGGCTAAAAAGTGCTCACTGTTGCCAGCTTGAGAACATGATGTCCCGTTGAAGCAGTACAAGTTCTCCGTCAGCGAATTTCAGTATGTGTTTGCCAACGTTTGCGAGGATTACTAGGCGAAGTCCTTTAAGTTACGAATGCAAAGAAGTAGCTCTTCCTTACCAAATAAAAGGAGTCGCCTTGCTGCGCACAGAACGATTTTCTAAAACCCTTTCAGCGGCATGGTCAATACACTCCCCCCCCTGGGAGTCGCGCCAGTCATCTGGCTCCTAGTTCCGCTGCTCTGCTGACCTCTCCCCCTCCTTCCAAACGCGTCTGGCTGCGGATGCTCCAGCGCGTTCCGTCCCGTGGGATTCGCAGTCCGCGTATTTTGGCGTGCGATCTGCATTTACGGCAGCTCGGGGGTCGTTCCGAAGAACTAGGCGTAGTGCGGCGCAGGCTACCGCAGCAGGGGGCAATCATAGCGCACCGTTCCCTGCGGCCATTGGAGCACGTGACAGACACAGCCGGCGTCTTCCGCCCGGGGGCTTTTGTGGGCCCTGATTGCGGCCTTTAGGAATGCATGGGTTTGTGATGGAAAACAGTGGGAGAAAACAGCGTCAGTGAGGCTGCCTGGTGCATATTCATTTGGCCTGTGTGGAACGCATGCTGATGCTTTCATTATTTACACCTTTTTTCTCATTTGGGAGAGAATTGAGATGTTTTCAGTGTACCCCTCTGCACCCCATTGCAATGCCGGCTGTATGCATTGGACGAGTGTTGTCCCACGTGTTTAGCGTTAAGCGCAGTGTTTAGAGCTGTGTTTGAAGCTTGAACTCACGGTCCAGCGCGTTGCCATTTTTCTGCACAATTTAGGAATGCTGCCAGAGCGGAGGAACCACCAGTTTTTGTTGATTGCATGCCGCCTGCACACGCTGTTGTATAACCCCACAGCTGTGATGGTGACAGAGACCGCACATCGAGCGAGTTTGACTTAGCTTAGGTTTAACAAAATATTTAAGTTTGCCGTCCCTGCCCTGCCTTGCCCTGTCCTGCCCTGCCATGCCCTGGCCGCCTTCCCTGCCCTGGCCGGTCCTGCCCTGCCCCTGCCCTGGCTGGTCCTGCCCTGCCCGGTCCTACCCTGCCCTGCCCTGCCCTGCCCTGCCCTGCCCTGCCCTGCCCTGCCCTGCCCTGGCCGGCCGAGCCAGGCCACGCCGTCACGCCTTCCAGTAACGGATATATTTCCGGCCATTTATGGCAGGCTTATACAGTGTTCATCAACATGGAGCGCATCTCTGCAATATTGGTGCGGTGTGAATGGTTCGGCATCGACAAGCAAGGTGCTTAGTATGATGAATATGCATGCAACTTTACGGAGCTCCATGAACGTGAAAAGGCAAAATTTTCTAACTGAAAAAAAGCTGAACAGCTTGGCCAAAAACTGAATCTAGATCTCCATGACCAGTGCCGTCGCAGTGATATTAGACAAACAGATTATGACGTCGGAGATAACGGACAATTTTGACAAAAAAGTGGGTTGATGTGTGTGGACGGGCACCGGCTGTCGTGCGCAGAAGATGGATGCGCCCGTTTTGGGGATTTAATGATTGGTGTGGAATCTCAGCAAACATGGCGGATGAAGACGCAAAATCAACTGCTCGGTGTAGGCAAACGTACCATCTACAATCACACAGGGGATTTCAAACTGCCGGACCCATGGGTGAGCCCGTGATCGACCGGAAGGCAACCAAGGTTTGAACCACTCTTTGAAACCGACCTCCAATAAAAGGAGTTGCCGATTAGGCCGCGAAAGTTACGCGACTGGCTAGCCCTGTTTATTGTAAACGATATCTATCCCTAATATTTGCGTTTTTCGTAACACTGGTCATCATTGCCAAAATCTTAAATCGTCGGAAAAAGATCGATTTTGTCGGCTGCAGCCCTGACCAGCGTGGGGCCGGCCGCCTCTCAAACAAGACTTTTTCTTGAGTTAGCACGCACATTTTGGACCAATGGGCCTTCCCCTGGCTAAATCCTTATGAACGGTACACCTTCCGCCGCATCGGCCAAACACACTACATCGGTAGCCTAAGGCGTCCAACTTCCTTTTCGTTCAGCCTCCTGTCCAGCTTGTCCAGGTGTCCAGCTTCGTTTCTGGCATCATCTGGATGGTGGCAGCGGACATCTGTCCTGACCTGTCTCGTGCCACGCCGCGCGTGGCGTCCCATCGATCAATAATGTGAGGCACGAACGCCTCCGTCGCCACTTGTTGATAACACGTCTCCTGACCAGTTGCTACTACTGCGATCCAACTCACACGGACGACTGCGATTCAGCTCCGTCGCACCCGCGGTCTAGAACATGCGCGACACTGAGGAGAGAGCAGTTGCCTCCTACGTGAACGAATCCATAAGGATCCCCCTGGAGGGTGCCTGTAGCGTAGAGATTAACACGTCTGCGTTAACCACTGCTCGTTTGGGAAACCAAAGGTACGGGGTTCGATTCCCCATGGTGTCCGCCCTTCCTACCAGGGCGAAAAACAGACGAAGTCATATAGCCTCGTCAGCTGAGTGCGTCGTAAAGCCCCAACAACAGCGAGATCCCTGGTGTGACGTCACCGTACTCCTCTCCGCGTGTTCCTTGATCACCACGACCGTGGTCGTGACGTCACCTCCCGTGCGTTTCCGCCGGCAGATAGTGGCGTACGCGCTGGTGTTCGTCGGCTCGCTGGTTGGCAACATTAGCGTGATCGTCATCGCCGCCACCAACATCCACATGCGCTCGGCCATCAACGCCTACCTGGTCAACCTGGCCGTGGCCGACATCTGCATCGTGCTCTTCTGCATGTGGGTCCACCTGGTGGTCAACATAACTCACCCCATCTTCGTGCTCGGCGCCTTCTGGTGCAAGTTCAACGGCTTCGCGCAGGGTGAGTTCTGAGGATCGCGGCTACTATTGACGTCATGTTTTTTGTCAAGGTGCTGTTTGCGAACATTGTTTGTGAGGGTATTGTATGCGAACATCGTTTGTGAAGGCATTGTTTGCGAACATTGTTTATGGCGCTAGTGTTTGCGAGCATTGTTTGCGAAGGCATTGCTTGCGAACATTGTTTACTGCGCAATGCTCGGTATTCTGTCAGAAACTTTCAAAAAACATCAGTTCACAATCCCTTGGACACCGGATACGGTCATCCAGCTATGTGACCACTAAGTCCTGTGACCCCGTGACGTCATCGTTTGCTTGAAATGTTGGCTTGGGAGCTGCGCCACGAGGCATGCAGCAGCCGCCTTACTGGAAAGAGTCGAATCGATGCAATATCAATCAGTAGAATGAATGGAATCGGGGGTATGTGACGTCAGAGAGGTAAGTGGCCTTACGGTCAATGAAGGAGTGACGGGACCGATGCGTTCGTGGGGTAAGTTGTTAGCGCATTTGCTGGGAGCATTATGCATATAGATAAGACAGCATTAATAGCCTTATTCATTGGAGGATAAACATCTATCTCCCATTTAACAACATTTTGGCTGCGATTTATTGTAGTCCGGTATAGCTGTAGTTTGTACTTTATGTAAAAACCGTAATCCACATCACACCTTTTCAGAACTACACCAGTCTACCACAAATACCAATTATCAACAAGCACTACTCTAGTGGTCGCAAAGTTTTCACAACAATAAATGCAGGCCGAAAAGTGTTTTCAAATTCCAGTCGTACAGTATAGTCGTATTCCAGCTCCAACCCGACAGCAACTACGGATTCATGGCTGCGAAGTTTACATGTCGCGTGTTGTTTTGTTCTTTTCTTTACTCCGGCTGAAGGGACCACATAGTGCAGCCACTTTGCAAGCAGAAGTCACTTTTCATGTGATGCTGCCGAAGCGGCTGATGACCAGCTGCTGCGGCTGCACCACGCGATCCTCCGCAACCGAAGTAGGAGCAGAAAAACAACACGCGATAACAAGTTGTATGCTACTACCAGTGTCATTTAGTTGTAGTGGAATAGTTTGAGCAGCCGCAGTCTTGATAATCTGAATGCAATTTTCGATCACGAGGTCATCAGTGCTGACGGGCGTACAGGGACGCGCCATCTCACAATCATCCCTTTCAAATGATTAATTAGAGCTCGGCGGCAGCACATTTGCACAGCACCACACAGCCCGTCAACGGTACGCCAAACGGGCGGGGCGGCTACGGCACGCTCAGACGTAGTCCAGTCAGCTGCCCCGCATCCGAACGACACGAAACCCGTCGTAACAGACGGCCGTGTCTGGTGTGAGGTGATGCTAGGTCAGATCGCGTGGCTGCTAATGTACATTACCGTATGCTGGCATACACCTTCTTCATTGGCCCGTGCGCGCGGTGAAAAGTTTTACCGCAGTGTTTTTTTTTACCGCGGGCCGAACTTTTTAAAGGAATTCACGAGTAAACATGTATTCGGACAACACCACGACTGGAATTTGCAGACACGGTTTCAGACTAAGTTTGTGAAAGCAGTGAAAAAAGACCTTGGAGCTTTGCAATCACTAGAGTGGCGCTTGATGTTGAGTGGTATTTGTGATACAATGGTGAAACTCCGGAAATTTTTAGTGCTCATAACACTGGTGGTCGAAGATGGCGACTCCACTACTACGGCTAGACCGCATAGGCTCTGCCATTCTCTTATCATGATCTTCTTCTCCATTGTCTTGACCCAAGCGTAATTGGAAGAGCGCTCTAAAAATAATCTCCATGCGCTATGACAAAACAGCATTTGGTATGACGCATGCAGCACTCGGGCGGAATTATTTTCCGGGTCATCGGACGCTGTAAAATTTCTTCCGGACACCGAAGGTCGAGGACAGACAGCGTAACGACCGCCTCGATCCTGGAAAATCGTTTTGCCGGCCCTGTGTTGCAACATGTAACACGACACACCGGCTCTTACATTGACTGAGTCGGCTACCTTCGAACGACACGAGCGGGGCGGTAGCGGGTCGCGGCGTCCGTGTCGCCGGATCGAGCCGGGGGTCCCGGACCGCCGCTGGCAGATACACACGCCCGCGGTCGGCGCTGCGCCAGGCCCTGCTGCCGGGCCGCCTCTCCGACGGCGCCTCAGCCGACATGTGGCGGCGCCGGCGCGTCCGTGCGGACGGCGGGGGCGGCGCTGACACTGACACCACTGACACCGGCACGGGTCGCTCTTCGCATCCGCGAGGCGCCGCGGGAAATGCCGCGGCCGTGGAGCCGCGCCGGTCGATGGCGCTCGTCCCAGCTCTTCTCACAAATACTGACAGGAGATTGGCTTCGCGGCCTGAGCAACGCCGCCCTAGCTCATCCCGGCCGGCCCAAGCGGCTCCCGACATGCTTGTCTGCCTAAGGGGAAACACCCTCTGACAAGAGCACGATCTTCTTGTTCCGGGCAACGCCGGCTCGGCTCGTTCCGGCCAGCTCGAGCGGCTCTTGACATGCTTGTCTGCCTGGGGGAACGCCTCCGACAGCTGCGCGATGCACGCGGGGTATCACTGGCTTGCGCTGTGATTGTTTAACAGCGTGCCGCCGTTGGCGTGCTGCCCGCCGCATTCGTCTTTGATGCCCAAAGCAGTGTTCGTGATCGCTGTCGGCGCACACTGTTGTTTGATTTAGTTTCCAATGTTTTGCGACGGATCTTTTCAACCTGAACGAGCGAGGTCAATGATTTATTATTTCAGTTGTCCACTGCACGGCGATGCACATCACTGATTTACTGGTCATTCGATCAAACACTGGAACAAACCAAACCAGTCTGCGGACATGGCTCCCAGCGCGCGTCCAGGCCTAAAAATGCAAGGAGGGGAAACACGCGAGTCATCAGTGGAGAATGGCTCAACAGGAGGAGATGAACAAGCAATCACTGGAAGCATTTATGGGTATGGTGGGCATCGATCGTCTGTTTGTGGGATATGGCCGTGTATCGCAACGACCGGCTCCACATCCGATGCTACACATCCTGCCCAATATCACTGCCCATCCGCTACCTCGCCATCGAAGGGCAGCTCGGGCAGGTTGGGCAGGTGGCAGTGACTTGTCAGCGGGCAGCTCGAGCAGGTGCCAGTGGCCTGTCAGCGGGCAGCTCGGGCAGTGCCAGTAACCTGTCAGCGGGCAGCTCGAGCAGGTGTCAGTAACCTGTCAGCGGGCAGCTCGGGCAGTGCCAGTGGCCTGTCAGCGGGCAGCTCGAGCAGGTGCCAGTGGCCTGTCAGCGGGCAGCTCGGGCAGTGCCAGTGGCCTGTCAGCGGGCAGCTCGGGCAGTGCCAGTGGCCTGTCAGCGGGCAGCTCGGGCAGTGCCAGTGGCCTGTCAGCGGGCAGCTCGGGCAGTGCCAGTGGCCTGTCAGCGGGCAGCTCCAGCAGGTGCCAGTGGCCTGTCAGCGGGCAGCTCGGGCAGTGCCAGTGGCCTGTCAGCGGGCAGCTCGAGCAGGTGCCAGTGGCCTGTCAGCGGGCAGCTCGGGCAGTGCCAGTGGCCTGTCAGCGGGCAAGCGCCAGGCGTTGCTATACCAGACGCCCAGCCCAATGCGCCCAGAGCAGCAAGGAGCGGGTACTGCCGCACGCGCACTTGTAACCCAGCATTGACCACGCCTTGCTGTGGGGTGGCGCTGACCTGAGTTAGATGCATGTGCGACGTTTCACTCCAGGCAGTATCGTGACCATTGTCTGAGTCGATTGACCAGATGGTAGGCAATGGTCAGTGGGGAAGAAGTTAGCGGGTCGGTGGCCAGCGGTCGGTAGGTAGGTGGTCAGTTATCATTGGTCAGGGGCCATGGGACAGGTGGTGTTCAGACAGAACCGGTGTGGTGTTGTGGGAAGAAGGGAGGGCGACCTCACCCCTTGCCAATTCTTAGACGAACAGCTGTATGATAAGATGGGTTTGGTGTTTTTGCTGTTAATGCGAACGCCTCCGTTTGCGGCATCTTTTTAAAGACGTCTTAACGTCAGTGGGTCACTGGCTCGGCTCCTGGGCTCCTGCTTGGCGTCAGGGCTACGCGATATCCGCTGGCATTGACCGGAGCATATTGTCATCGCCTCTCCGGTGCCGAGCCTCCGTGATATTTCCCACTGAAGCACCGTGCAGCCGGTCTTCCTGGCAATCAGACCAAGCGTGTAACGTATAGCAGCATATGTGCCACAGGCTATCGGTCGTTAGCTGTACTCCAGCCACCGGCTACCGGTCATTAACTGTACTCCAGCCACCGGCTACCGGTCGTTGGCTGTACTCCAGCCACCGGCTACCGATCATTAACTGTACTCCAGCTACCGTCTACCGGTCATAAACTTTACTCCAGTCACTGTCTACCGGTCTTTAACGGTACTCCAGCCACCGTCTACTGGTCACTAACTGTTTTTCAGCCACCGACTACTGGTCATTAACTTTACTCCAGCCACCGTCTACCGTTCATTAACTGTATTCCACCTACCGTCTACCGGTCACTAATCCATGTGTGCTGCCGTCTATTGGCCATTTACTGTACTCCAGCCACCGTCAACCAATCATCAGACGTAATCCATGTGTGCCATCGTCTGCTGGTCATTAACTGCACTCCACCGCAGCGCAATAGAAGAGGAAGTGGGAAAAATACACCAGCCCGGATGTAACCCGGCCGTTCTTCAACAGACGGGTTCTGTGCCGATTTCATTCGATATTAGCGTCATTGGATCATTAGCCCGGACGAATCGCGGGCAAGACATTTATCTGGACAGAAGAAATAAGACGGGGATGGTATTGACACCTTCGCTTGAGTAGGCTTCTTACCAGGAGTGAAGCGAGTGCTGAGGTATATGGCAATCTGATCTGCCCGCCCGTACCGTCTCTGAAATGACCCATGCGATCGGCCGCATTTTGTGCAATTAGGTCGCCGTGTACACTAGCCTGATCTCGAGGTCTGAAAACGAGGCGGGAGCGAATCTGCCGTGCTGCCCTCGGCTGTGTCGCTCTTTCCGGCCCATCTGCCCTCCACGAAATCCGCAGCCGCCAGCCCACGACCGCACACCGAACACTCATATCACAGCCGACCAGCTGTCCCCACCCTCTCCGCGAGGGGGAGAGAGTCGTCCACGCCCTCGGGCGGCGACGGCCGGCGCCGGTTCCGGGCGCCGTCCCGGGAGGCGGCGGCTATATCCGGGCGGGCCGATGGCGTCCGGTAGGTACCGGGACGCGCGTCATTACCGGGCGATCGGCCGCTGGGGCCCAGCAGCGGCCGATGAGCGCGCCGTCGCCTGCCGGCCGGACGGCCGGACTAATTGCTGTTGTCGCTGTCGGCCCCACACGCCGTGTTTATCGCTTCGTCTGTCTCCGTGTCTGTCTCTCCGTGTCAGCCGGCCATCGTGGCTGTGCCCTGTATCTGTCTCTGTATCTGTCGCTGTATATCTCTGTCTCTGTCTCTGTATCTGTCTCTGCATATCTCTGTTTCTGTCTCTGTCTCTGTCTCTGTCTCTTTCCCTCTCTCCCTCCCTCTCTCTATCCCTTTCTCTTTACCTCCCTCTCTCTCTCTCCTCCTCTCTCCTCTCTCTCTCTCTCTCTCTCTCTCTCTCTCTCTCCTCTCTCTCTCTCTCTCTTCTCCTCTCTCTCCTCTCCCTCTCCTCTCCTCCTCTCTCTCTCTCTCTCTCCTCTCTCTCCTCTCGCTCTCTCTCTCCTCTCTCCTCTCTCTCTCTCTCCTCTCTCTCCTCTCTCTCGTCTCTCTCTCTCTCCTCTCTCTCGAGTCTCTCTCTCTCTCTCCTCTCTCACTATCTCTCTCTTCTCTCTTTCCCTCGGCGCAACAAGCCTCTGCGGTCTGTGTGTAACGCTGGCCACTCACTGCCCTTGTGTGCACTTCGGCGCCGACCGCCAATCGATCCACGCGACCCTGACCAAGAAACCCACGCGACCCTGACCAAGACACCCACGCGACCCTGACCAGACACCCACGCGACCCACCAAGACACCCACGCGACCCTGACCAAGACCCTCACGCGACCCTGACCAAGACACCCACGCGACCCTGACAAGACACCTCACGCGACCCTGACCAAGACATCCCACGCGCCCTGACCAAGACGCCTCACGCGACCCTGACCAAGACATCCCACGCGACCCTGACCAAGACATCCCACGCGACCCTGACCAAGACACCTCACGCGCGACCCCTGACCAAGACACTCACGCGACCCTGACCAAGACACCTCACGCGACCCTGACCAAGAACAGCACACGCGACCCTGACCAAGACACCTCACGCGACCCTGACCAAGACACCAACACGCGACCCTGACCAAGACCACCACACGCGACCCTGACCAAGACACCACACGCGACCCTGACCAAGGACAACACACGCGACCCTGACCAGACAACCAGAACCACACGCGACCCTGACCAAGACACCTCACACGACCCTGACCAAGACACCTCACGCGACCCTGACCAAGACACCACACGCGACCCTGACCAAGACACCAAACGCGACCCTGACCAAGACAACACACGCGACCACTGACCAAGACACCTCACACGACCCTGACCAAGACACCTCACGCGACCCTGACCAAGACACCTCACACGACCATGACCAAGACACCACACGCGACCCTGACCAAGACACGAATGCTGGATACACCTACCGTGTATTTCGCTAAGCTACACCGCTGCGCTTGCCGCTACGGCTACCGCCAGCTTTTTAGACGCCAGTTGTATTTCGGACTCGCGTGAGTTATCTGTGTTTGTGGTCGGCACAGACTGCTCCGTCTGGCGCCGGCGCCCAGGAGGCTATGGTGGGGATGGTGGGGTGGGGGTGTGGAGAACGGCATCTTGGCGTGATGCAGACGCGGCGGATGTTTTGGTCTGTGCCGCTCGTTAGGGCTTATTTCAGCATTAGCGCACTTTCGTCCCTTCCGGCGGACTAATTTGCATGCCTAATTGGCCGACTGGCCGACGTTAATGGAACGTCACCATCTTTGGTGTCTCCATAACTTCGATCATTTATGAAGGCCGAAAGGGTTTGGCACCTATGATAATTCAAGCATTCTGAGCGGCTTTCCCTGTACCATGTGGCACTGATGGCTTCCACCAGATGGGCACAGGTGCATGCATTCGTATGCTGGCAACCTCATATTAGTTTTGGAGGCCTTGCTATAAAGACCGGGAAAGTTGACGAGTTCCGTTTGGGTCAATCGGGGTCTAGCCATTTGCGCTGGAAATAGTTGTTCACCACTTTCTGGTCGTATGATTGCATTTACGTTATCCATCTAAAGGTTATCATCTGGTCCTCACCTAAAATTGATTTGATTAACGCCATCTAAAGCGGCAGGAGGCATCTCTTTGTGGACAGTTGAACCATCTATCATGTGAGATGCGCGCTCGGTTGCCATTTGGGATTGCCTTTTATTGTTGGAAAACCAACAGTCACCAAAGAGCGCTATCTATTGCGTGAGCCCTCACATAGCCGCAAAGAATCCACCAACTTTTCCCATCACCACCTCTCGACCGGGAAGCGCTGCGAACTGAGTGGCACGTTGGTCAAACAAAACCTGAACAGCGGCGCCTCTGAGGATCGTTTGAAGCGTTTCGTGTTAGACAGGTCGGGGTGCTGAAAGTAACAAAACAGCGGGCTCGCATGTTAACGAGAGAGCTAAGCCTCAAATCCGTCAGGCCTGCAGTCAGACCGAGTAGTTGGAAGATTGACTGGAGGACTGTCTGACCTGATCGGAAGAAAACCTGATTGGAAGACCTCCATCAGACATTGCTTGGGTTGCATTTTGTGTGTCCTAGCCTCGACAGGTGTAATTGTTGCTTGTTTGGTCGCCGTGTGCAACGTCGGGGGTTGGTACCACCCACCGAGATGCGCCCAAGCAAAACGTAGAAAAGAGTAGCATCGCGCGTAATGTCCAGATCGCAGGAGGTCACCCTTACGTTCCTCTCCAGATAATGTCGGATCTAACCAAACAGAATGAGATCACAAATTCGAATTAAACGTGGGATGCTACACTTTTTTGCGGCGATAGCTGTTCCATCTGGATGCAAGCTGCTTTATGCTTCCAAGTAGTAACACAATGTCACCTTCGACCTCACCTTCGACATTAAATGATGTTGCACGGCCCTCCCCCTTGATCGATCTCACGATCAAGCTGTTGGAGATCCTGTGCTGCTGCTGCATTGGAAACGAGATTTCACTTTTCTGAAAATGCAAGGTATCATGCAGTCTTCTATTGCCATTGTACGTGCAGTGGACGATCCCCAATACCAGAACTAGATCTTTCCAAACTACCACATCAGTATCTTTCTAAACTATTACATCAGATTCTTTCCAAAATGTCACACAGTATCTTTCCAAAATGTCAGTCTGTATCTTTCCAAAATACCAGACTGTCTTTCCAAAATATCAGATGTGACCGCTTTCAGCACCATGCATAAGCTTAGTGGGAAGTGTCATTGATATTGAAGTTTACCATTAAGTGTGCCTCCAAGGTCCTCCGAAAAGTTTCTTAATCACCTTATGCAAGCGCAGTTGGTGTTCTTATGAAGCCATCGCAATTGAAACTGGTGAGACATGGTGATCCACATCTTCTGGGCTCCTCTTCTTGAGACAAGGCGATCGGCGAGCTGGGGGCAAAAACAAAGCTGAGCCTTCGCAGGGAATCGGATACGTGTAGTCTGAAAACCTGCCGCGTTTGTGCCGGCACTAAACACACATGGATGCGTCGTGATGTTTGCGCCCGCCCGAATCTTAGTGTTTGAAAGTATCTGACATAACTCAGGGATGATAGATGAGTGCTTGAAAGTATTTGATATAACTCAAGCGATGATAGATGAAACTCATCATACCCTTGTTAGCGCTTGGTCGAACAGAATATAATAGGACATATATGATGGAGTCAGTTCTTTATAACACCACGAGCTTTAATTGACGATCATAAGTCAAGAAACCTTGACACAAGTCAAATACACCCCGGAGATAATGAGACTACGTGGATTATGAACGCATTGATAGCAATCTGGACTCCCATGGACTCTGGCTGCTTTTCTTCGCTGCACGTGCCTGGGTGCAATCTCTTACCACAATCACTGACCCCAAACACTGACCCCAGTTACTAGCCTAACCACTGACCCCAAGCACTGACCC